AGACTTAAGATCTTCAAAACATCGTGGTTCCACTCCTTTAATACAAGTTTAAGAGAAAGAATAACATTCACAATACACTCAACGCTAACACCCCATTGAGAAGTGGTAAGGGAAGGACTTAAAGATGAGAGAGCGCTCAAACTTAGATAATCTAGCTTATGATCTAAAGTGCTTCGAGACTTAAGGATTGAGTAATCTCTTTAAACTTTAAAACCATGTCATAGGGAGAAAAATCTATCTAATCTCTACAACTCTAGCTAGCATATATGCAATAACTAGATTAAGTGAATCTATCATCTGACAAAAGGGAGGTTCCAAAAGATCAAAATCTTCAATCAACTCGAGCCACCAGTCTAATCGAATAGACAATGGTGCACGTCGGGAGATATTTTGGATCCATCCTAAACACCTTTTATAAGCCCACAAAAAATGTTTGTTATATAAATCCTTCCGCCATTAGTAAATCTTCCAATGTGGAACAAAGCTTAAGCATTTTCGGTCCAAAAAGTCTTGTCATTCCCAACACTAATTACCCATCAGGTCATTTCTTATTGATTGACACCCTTTTTTGTATAGCTAGTTGGTTGGCTCCTTTTATTTGGATGTTTTTTTACATATCCTTTATTTTCTTTCTTTCTTTCTTTATTATTATTATTATTTTTATGAAAACTTTGTTTTGTATCACAATAATAACAATTTTTTTCTTTTTTGACAAACACAATAATGACAATTAATTTTGTTAAAAAAATAATAATAATAACAATTCATAATACATTCCCCATCAAAATACTTTTACTATTAAATAATATTATAACAGTTTTCCGGAAAAAAAAATAATATTATAACATTTACTCGCCGATCTTTGCAACAAATTCCACATCATCCCTCCATGTTTAATAGTGAATTTATATTTTTCTTCTCTCTTGTGCCTTTTGGATCAAATATCTTGTCTATATATTTATTTATTTATACTTTTATTTCTAATAAAGAGTCCTTGTTAAATATTTAAAAGGAAAATGGAATAACAATTTGTTTTTATGCAGCAATTGAAGCAAGAAGCTGAGATGACGGCAAAAAAAATAGAGCATCTTGAAAATTCACAACAGTCTGATTTCTCACCTACCATATAGTTTTTATTTATAATAGGTTTAAATACTATTTTGGTATTTGTACTTTGATTTTGATTTATTTTAGTCATCGTACTTCTAAAATATTTATTTTGGTCACTATACTTTCAATTGGTTTATCCTTGTACTTTCAAAAGGCTCATTTTGAACTCTATATTTTTTTTAAAAGTGATAAACTTGGTCTCTATTTATGAAATTTTAATATAAATTTTATACATAATTAGAAACTCTTTAATATAAATTTATGGCTACATTTCAAGAAATTTAGTAAGTGATATGCTATGCTAAAATGATGAACGGAAGAAATGAGATAAAAATAAAAATGAAGGGACCAAAATAAACGTTTCGACAGATCAAAATGAACGAAAGTTGAAAATACATGAACCAAAATAACCAAAAATTTAAAGCACATGAATCAAAATAGATGTTTTTTAAAGTTCGTAGATTAAAATAAACTAAAATAATTGAAAGTAAAATGACCAAAATAGTATTTTAATCCTTAATAATATCATACTAACCATTTAAATTTTCATATCTTAGGAAGCTTTTGGGACGTGGCTTGGATTCTTGTTCTCTCAAGGAACTTCGAGAGATCGAAAGACAGTTGGAATTGAGCTTATCCCGTATTAGAGAAAGAAAAGTATGTCCCAATTTTGTATATTTCATGTATATGTTTTTTTGTCTCAATTTTAGTTTAATTCACAAAACAAAGTATAAATGTTCTTTTCTATAAAAATAATGTATATTATTTATGATAATACATTTTCAAATGTATAAAAAGAATCAAATACGAAATTGATTTTCGTTAAAACTAAAAAGTATTGGCATACATGGCATGTTATTAAATAAAGAATTTTGTTTTTCAAAATTATTTTTTAAAAAGTTTGATAAGAGTGGAGATGCAATAATAATCGAAATCAAAGATATATTAATTAGTTAAACTATGTTTAGGTTGGCTCCTAAATTAAGTCTAACATGCTTTGGGATCATATATATTTTTATATTATATATTTGAATATAAAACCATAATGTGTTATAATTATATATATATTTATTTTTCAAAATTAGGGTATCTTTGGTCATGGTAGTGCTTTAAACTATGACAAAAAAATATTATTAAATAGTTAAAAAAAATAGTCTCTTTTTCAATTTAAAGGCACTTGAAAATACTTCAAGAAATTGATAGGTGTTTTATTGAAAACACTTGATCCTTGATCCCTCATCATATATTTCTTTCTTCTAATCACTCTCTTGCCACTTTCTCTCACCAACTTCTCTTCTTTAGGGTTTGTGCAACTAATTTCTCTCTCTTTACACTTTATGTATATATATATATATATAACACATTATGATCTTATGACTCAATTATCAAAGCATGTCAAAATGAAAATAAACAAAACTCTATCAAGTAACATAAAACTAACCAAATGACAGGAATACTAAAACAAGATAGAAAAACTCACCATAAGAGCAAGAGAAAAACTCATTGGCATAAGATGTAAGCATCCATCCAAGCCACCCAAAGCAAACACCAAAAATCGGGTCAAATTATAATGGTTAAAATACTAGTTTGATCCCTGTACTTTCAGTCTTGGTTCATTTTGGTTCCCGTACTTTGAAAGTGTTCATTTTTGTCCTACTTTAAACTTTGGTTCAGTCTAGTCTTTGTATTTTGAAAATGTTCATTTTAGTTCCTATACTTTTTTTAAAAGATCATTTTAGTCCCTCTTTATAAAATTTTAATATATATTTTACGCATAACAACAACTCTTTAGTATAAAGTAATGTTTACATTTGAAGACATATATTGATTTTAGTGCCGTGTTGAAATTGTGATATAAAAAATGAGATTAAGAATAGAATTGAGGGACTAAAATGGTCGATGGTCACTTTTTAAAAGTAGAGAGGCCAAAATGTACGTTTTGAAAGTACGGGACTAAAATGAACAAAAGTTTAAAGTACATGGACCAAAACGAAGATTTTCAAAGTACGGGGATCAAAATGAACCAAAGCTGAAAGTAGAGGGACCAAACTAGTATTTTAATCAACGATAATTATTCAAGTTGATTCTGTAGTAATAAGATCAACTAAGCCTTATTTGGCCATTTTAGGAGCAATTGTTCTCCGCCATTATGGGTAAGACTTAGTAAGTAGATTATAAATTAGTTTCATAATTGTAGCTACCTTTCTAAAAGGAAGGTTCCGTTAGAACCTGAAATATTTATTGAAAGATAATATATAGAAGAACTGCAATATAACCCAAGTACTTGGACCCTCCTAGAGATATCACTCAAAGCCTAAATCATACTACGTCCAATTTGCCTACCTTCATACTTACATCCTCATTCTACTTATAACAACTTTCCCTAACAACTTCCTTATCTAATTACTAGAGTACCTTTAATATCCTAATAATATCTATAATTACCTTCAGCTTATTCCCATCAGGTTCTCTTGATCCAAAACCTCTCTTAAATATTGGAAGTCATCCCAAAACAAAAGATGGAGCTCTTATGAGAATTTGCTATCAGTCCAAAGAGACTCCAAAATGAGAAAATGTCTCCTTAACAAAGGAGAAGGAACCACTACCTCCGCCAAAAACACCATGAGATCATTAGCAAAGSATAGGTAATTTAGACGAATATGCTTACATCTCATATGAAACATAATATCCTTTGGAGGTTTATCCAACATATGAATAAGACCTTAAAATGTTATAAACAGATGGGGGAACAAAGGGTCATCCTTGCGAAGTCCTTTCCTACTCGAGGAGAAACCCCCCAACGCTCCATCAATAGAAATCAATCCCAAAACAGCCCTCAACCAAGCGAGATCTCCAACTAACTATACAAAGAAGGACTACAATCCAAAATAATTTGACCTAACCGATAATTACAAAAGTCCTTCAAAACTGATGTCCAAGTAGAAGCATTAAATTGAGCCAAAGATCACACCTCATCCTAATATCTTTCTCCATCCCTAAAAATTCTATTATTCCTCTCTGATCAAAGACCCCACGAAACTGCAAAGAATCCATCGTGCCATAAAATCCAGCCCTTATCTCGGAGTAGAGGAAACAAGAAGACCTCCYCCGCCGTAAACTTGCAATCTTTGCTCCTTTTCAAACACACACCAAAAACCTGAAAAACGTTGTCCCAAACATAGCTACAGACAATAATCCGATAGAATGTGATCCAGATCTTTAGCTGCATTCTTGAAAAGATAACACTACTACAATCCCACCACAAAAGGAGAATGTCTCGCCATATAATCAAGGTGTTCACCCTCCCAAGTAAAACCAACCAACCAAAGATTTGACATTTTTTAGAATGATGACCTTCCACTACGGCAAAAATGAAGGACAACCAGAGGGGGAAGGATCACCCAAAAGACAGAAAAAATAGCTACATGAAAACCCTCTAGACGAGTCATGAACACAAACACGACAATCTCCCCCATCCAACACAACATCCCCTAACAAGAGTGATCATCGGTCGATCGAGGTCAGTTTTGGGATCCAACCAACGCCGACCACCGACAAATCGGTTCTCATTGGTTGGAGCTAGTTGGAGTTTGAAGACCCTACAGCTCCAATCGACCTACTATACTTGCAGTCGGTTGGTTTTGGTCGTTTTAGAGATGAAGTGGGGATGAGAAAGGGAAATAATAACAGAAGYAGAAGAAGAGAAATAGGCAAGAAAAAAGAGAGGACAATGGAGAAGAAGATGAATAGGAAGGCGAACCTTGATTAAAATAAAAATTTCATGTTTTAAAGTAAAAATCTTCTTTATAATTATTTGTCAAAATATGCACATATATATTTTTAATAAAAAAAATTAACATGTCCCATCGTGTCATGTCCTACTTTTTTAGAAATTGACGTGTCGCCGTATCTGTGTCGGGTCGTATCCGCATCGTGTGTTTGTGTCCATGCTTCTTAGGTTAATACCAATGGTAGGGCACTTCCCTCTATTAATCTTCAATCCTGAGATAGACGCGACTCATAAACAAAAAGAATTTGATTGAGATCAATAAAGTCTTCCTTACCAAGCAAAAACAGATAGTGTCATCATATGCAAATTGAAGGTGTGAGATGTGGAGATGGAGAAAGGGAATCCCTTATCTAAGCCCTGTAGTAGCCCGAAACTCACCTCTAGATCTATCATTGATGAGAACTTAATATCTAACAGATTTAATGCAATTCTAGATCCACGTCCTCCACTTAAAACAAAACCCTTCTTCAAAGCATCTTATCGAGGAAGTTCCAATCCACATGGCTGTAGGCCTTCTTGAAGTCAATTTTCAAGATGACCCCTTCCTTAAAGTCCTCCACAGTCYCATTAACAATGAGATCTTGATCCAAAATTTGTCTCCCTGCAATAAAAGCTCCCTCGAAAATTAGAGATGGTACTAGGAGAACCTTGCTCAATATGTTAGCGGGGACTTTAGTAATAATTTTGTAAACACTTGTAACTAGGCTGATGGATTTGAACTTCCTTACTTTCCTTGCCCTCCCCCTTCTCAAGTATCAAACAAATAAAGGTGTCTGTCATTGAGTCATCTAGGATCGCTCTCTCATGAATCTCCTTTAACTAGATCTTCTGCAGATTCCCTTTGAGAACTCATCTTTTCTTTCCCTTTTCGGTATGATAATTAGCCTAGAGCTTCTGGCAAAGAAGAATATTATCTATTTTTATATTGCAACCCTTCATAAAGGTTGAGTGATAAAATGGAAAATCCCTTGAAATTGTTTAACTATAGCCTTAGCAATCTTACGTGAGGTGGGGATCGAACTTACAACCTCTTGACTGGAGATGTATGTCAATTATCGCTGAACTACCTCGATTTGACTATATTTTCTCTCGTTAGTTTCTCCTCTCACACATTTTCTCTAGCATCGTCTCTCCACAATATGTTGTTTTTCACAATCTCTTCCTATACACTTTTCTTATTAGTCTCTCTAAACATACAATTTCTCTTACTAATCTCTCTCTACATATTTTCTCATTAATTTTATTTTCATTTTTATAATTTTCACAATCTTAATCATTTTCATTTTAGTGATTTAATTATAAAAATATTTGTTAAGTAAATACTAATTATTCAATAATATTTCTAATTAGATGAAAAAAAAACACTTTTGAAATATTATAAGTACCTAAAGTGCATATAACCSAAGTAATTTTGATAAATGAATTTCATGTGAAAATGCTCTCAAACATGCCCTATTTTTGGGCAATGCAAGTAGGATTACTTGATGAGTAATGCTTCCAACATAATTACATTAATGATTAAAAAAATTAATCTTTAGAAATCAGGTACCAATCTAAGTATAGTTCAACTGGTTAAGACGGCATTTATTTTCAATTAAAAGAYCGTGAATTCGAATCTCTACTCGACATTTTGTACTGAAAAAAGGATACTGAGTAGGTAGTTCATTATTTTCATGGTGAAAACTGATCTATGAAAGCTAATTTTATTGCAGTCTCAACTATTCAAGGAGCAGAAAGAGAAACTGATTGAGAAGGTAATTTGAAGATTGATACAGAAAATAAGTGCATAAAAGTTGGTGCATATAGCATGAAAGATTTCTAGGAGTAGATTGATTTCCATCATATTATAAATACATTCAAACTCTTAACATATTAGGTAACTAATTGTTCTTTTTGAATTTTTTATTTGTATACATTAGATATAGAATGAATATTCAACATGGCTTTTAAACTTTAGGTTACAATACGGTGCATCATTTAAAGAGTATGTTGGATTATCATTTAAATATTAAAATGAAAGAAACTTTTCCCTTTGAGGGTTTGAGAAAGTTCATTTTTACTCTTTACCTGACTAAGGGAGTTAAATTTTACATTATATTTTTAATTTCATTAAATTCAACATCCAACAAGTAGTTACACTAATACCTCAAAACTAAATTTGAAAGTTACCTCTGAACTAACTAATACATCGCACAAAATTCCACAATCAAATCATGAAAATTCTCAAATCTAACTACAAAAAATAATCTAAACTTTAACCTAAAATCTACCGAGTAAAAAGTGCTCAAACTCAATTATGAAACATCCTGCTAGAAGAGCTAGTACCATAAAAATATCATTATCGCTAATTTGAGCATAGCTTAATGAATAAGACTCATATTACCTTCCTTGAAGTTGAAGGTTCATTCCCCACCTTATATTTGTTGAACTAAAAAAACTTATCCAATCACAAAAAAGCGTTATAGCTAGCATAGTACAAACTTTCCGCAAAGATATCCAAAGATAGGTTAGATCCAAACAAAAGAGAGAAAAGAAGCCAAAAGAATGATCATTTTTGGATCCAAGATGAAAACAAGACCTCAACAATCAAGAGATCAAAGAAGAGATATTAGAGGTTTTCTCGTTTTAAAGTAGGTGATTGAAACCAACATTGTAAGAAATGGAGATAGAGAGGGGATTCCCTACCTCTATGAGACTTTCTCTAAGAAATCCTAATCTTCCTAAGCTTTCTCAAAATCTAACTTATCCTTCTCGCTTATGAGCTTTGTAATTCTCAATCCTCTCATTAGCAATAAGCCCCTCGTCAAGGATTTATCCATATGCTGGTTTATCAAGAATACGTAAGAAAAGCAGTTCGAATTGTTGATTCATCAGCAAAATCCTGCATAATCTCGAATGTTATCAGTTCCGAACAGGGGCATATATGCCAAACAAACTTGACCCCTATCTATCATTGTAGAAGTAGTTCCTAGGAAAGATTATGGTTCTCGAGTATCCAATCAATTAATCCCTCGAACTGGGAAAGCTTAAGCGGAAGGCCATTTAGTTTGATATCCCTATGGGATTTCCACAAGTTAAAAAGATCATTCAAATAGAAGCTGTTGACAAAGTTAAAAAGATCATCCAAATGTCCTTATTGGATTTCAACAAGCTGAAAAGATCATCCAAGTAAAAGTCATCAACAAAGTTAGAATGATCATCCAAATTAAATATCCCTATTTAACTTTGACAAGTTAAAAGATCATAAAGTCTAAATTCTTTAATAATCTCTAAAAGGTTTTTACGTTTCCAAACTCTAATGTAAATCCCTAGACCAGATTATCCACAAGCCACAAGTCCAATTCGAATCTCACTCAATGCAACAACCACGTAGTAGAAGTAGAAGGTTAATTATTGAAAAATGAAAGAAGGAAGAACACACAAAGAGCTATAGCAGTTGAATAAAAAATCAGCTCTCTGAGTCTAAGAATCTATGTATGTATTCAATTGAGTAGTAGATTAAAAGCATAAAAAACATAAAAACTAAACTAGAATTTGAGAGCGATTCAATCAAAGGATAACTATGTTCAGTCCATAATTAATTGCTCCGTTAAATCCTCAACGGCTCCTTGTCCTTCTTCCGATGTCTTGTTCTCTATTATGGATTGTTTCTCCTTCTTGTGTTTTGTTTCCTCCTCTTTTGTGATATTGTCTGATTTGGGCATACAGACTTGCTTTTGGTTTTACCAAAAAACCTCGTACCAATGAAGATAGTTGTCCTCACCTATATATATACTATGGATAACTTTCTTAGTCAATGCAGGAGTTTGTTAGCACTCTTTGCAACCCACGTCTTGCCTCTCATTTAACTATTTGAAAAACTCAAATGAAAATAACCGTCAAAATCTTGTCCCAACAATACACCAAAGACTAACAACATGTCGTATATAATCATGCAAATAATGGACACTAGAAATCTGCTAATAGAAGTCTGTTCAAAATGGACAATATCATACCGTTGTGAAAATGTCGAGGCATTCATGGTTCATAACGTAACTCCAAAACTCGTTTTTCTTCCTATTGATGTAGTCATTTGTCTCACTAGTGATGTAATTTTCCAAAGATAATGGAGAAACAAAAGATCGCACTTTCATTTCTTGTTTAATGTTCTCTTGATTCTTATGCACTCTGCTAGACATTATATATATAATAGGCAAGTTAACAAATTTATGAAGTTGCGTTGCTCCATACTCGAATGAAAACTGCCTTGCATGAGCTTGAAGTGTCATATTTCTACTTGTTTGTTTATAAACCTACTTGTATTTTCATAAGCGTTTTGGTTGTTTATTTTGTTGAATTAACTGAGATCATCTCAAAATCAGGGGAAGCTCCTTACAGAAGAGAATGCAAAGTTATCTGCAAAGGTGAGAGAGACCTCATGCTTCCATTATTCTTTATAGTTAATGTTGTGAAACTCAAAAATATCTGTCATTGGTTGTGTTGGACTGAAAAGATAGCTGAAAATCAATATTTCTGAAAATACCAAGTGACCCGTTGAAGAAAGGTAAATGAAAATAAAGAATCTTAAATAGCTTCTAAAAGTGTGTTTTCTTTTTCCTCTTTTTCAAAGTATTGAACTGTTATTTAAACATTTGCAAATAAGTTCTCCTGCATGAGATTAGTTTATAATGTTTGGAAAAAGTTCACTTTCTACTCCTAGTGAGTCAATTTTGTACAATCAATGAGTTAAAGTTTCCATTTTTTGTGAAGATGTGACTAGATATGGGACTTTCTTATGGGTAGGTGATACCATTTTTATGAGTATTAGTTAGCCTAAATGTACTGGATGTTGTTCATGGGCTATTTTCAAATTTTGTTCCGAAGAGGTCATCAATTACAACACTAATTCAACTTCCATGTTTGCTATGATGAAACTAAAAATCAACTTATTCAGGGGTGAAACCAATATTTTCCCATGATGTTTTTCTTAACTTTTCTTTTAGTACAACACGTGGAGATGAAGATTCAAATTCATGATCTTTTTGACATTGTTTGTACCTTAATCAGTTGAGCTATGTTCTAGTTGAAACGTTTTTTTTTCTTTTAACTTTGGAGTTTTAGTTTGACAATGATCATAGTTCGCATCTTTTCTTGGCTACCATAAGCCCCTCCTCCCTCTAAAATTGATACTTTTTGTTAACACATTTGATTTTGTGACTATTATTATTACAAAGTGTGGTGCTGAGCCATGGCAAGCAGAAGAAGGTGGTGGTGGAGGTGATGCAGAGGGAGGTATTGTGGGTTTATGCAGCCAAAGTAGCAAAAGCAATTCTGATATGCAGACCGAACTGTTCATTGGATTGCCCTGCATGTAACTCCAAATTCATTGTTCAACCCAATCAAATGAAGGGGTGCCATGTAGAATATGTAATAATCCCATGTGTTATAAGTCATAACTATATATTTAAGTTTCTTGCGAGTAATGTTTAGTTTTTTCTTTTTCTTTTAACAAAACTAAAAATGAAATAGTTAAGTTCTTTTAACAAAACTAAAAATGAAATAGTTATGAAATCTACTCTTAGGTCTCTATCATTTCTCACCTAACATGTTAAAAAAGTAGACATAAAAATGTCAGAATGATTTTTTAGGCCAATATGTTTGCAGGGAAACGCTTTGCATTTTTGTGTACTCTTTACATATTTTTATAAAAATACTTAYCTCATGTATTTAATGTGGCTCGAATCGTACGTAAAAAAAATTGACTCACAGTATTAAAACGAGTATAAATCAGCAATAATTGACATATATTCTCCAGTTAAAAGGTTGTAAGTTAGATGTCTCGTACTTGAAAAAATTTCACATCGCAATAGGTAGGAGATATTCTTTTTAAGCTTTAGTTTTTCTTTAAGAAAATGTAAAAAAGTCAATTTATTATTGACCCATCGAGACATGAGGTAAGGTTTTTTTTTTTTTAATTATGAAAATGTCGAAAAGAAACTTTCTCATTTCCAAATTCAAAGCTGGTAAATAGGTTTCAGGAAGTGGGCTCTGATAACAAGGCAGGCCCATTAATTGTAGTAGATGGGCTACAGAGTTTATAGGGAAAAAAAGCCCAAATATTTGAGGTCCACTAAAGAAATAACACATGGAAATTGTTGTGTTGTTAAAAAAATTAATAATAAATTGTTGTGATTTAATTATAATAATGAGTAGATGTTATTCCCAGTGTTTTTTTTATATTGATATTTAATTCTAAATTTTCATATATTATAGTTATTTCAACTTTTATACAATGTTTTAGAAAATGATCAAGATTGAGTATAGTTTATATTTTAAAAGTTTATTAAATTTAATTTGTTGACTGTTGTTTTTTTAATGTTGTAAAAACTAAATGTAATAATTTATATTAAATAGTTAAAATTTTTTAAATTAATTTATATAATAACATAAATATGTAAAATGTTACATTTACTCCAATTTAATAAGTATTTATGATTATTACATCTAATATTTGTAATTAGTACATGTCTCAATATTTAATATTTAATAGTTGTAAAATCATTCATACCAACGGGATTTAGCAAGTTTGAATCTTGTTGACGGTTCTTGTTTTTAATGTTTTAGCAAGTAGACATAATATAATGTTTACATAGTTTTCTTTTTAATTTCTTGAAATTGATATCGTGTTGCTTACGTTAGTAGATCTCTAAAATCAAAGTTCGTTGCCTAGATTGAGCAACACTGTGACAAGTGTCCTCAGAATAAGTGGTACTCAAAACTCTAAATTCTTGCTACTACGTTGTCGCGAAGGACGTAAGTTATTATAATTTGAATTGCTAAATTCTTTTTAGATTTTGAATAAAAAGGAAACTTTAGTATTTAAACCTATAACTACTTATTCAGCATTAAAATGACAATATTAATTGATATAATTACGCATTTAAGATGATTCAAAGACGTAGGAGTTTTATTGATACAACTATAATTGAGTGGATGAGAACATTTATTATTTTTCTTAAAAGTATATTTATAAAATTATAAAAAAAAAGATTTCCATATTTCCAAGATGTCTTAAATTTTGAATTTGTGAATGCAAGTGAGACCAAATTGCTGGTTTTTTTGGAGGGAAATTGTATGGTAGTTAACTTTTATACATATTTACAAAAATGTCAACCACTTTTGTATTTTGTAAATATGGTAAAATATTTGAATTTTTATTCTCTGAATTTTTATTATTCCAGGTTTACCTTTATGATATCTTATATACATCTGATGTATATATGATATACGTCCGATGGATGTATATCTGATATACGTCCGATGGATGTATATCTGATATACGTCCGATGGATAGATATCTGATATACTTTCGATCTACATTTGATGTACATCCGATGTATTTCTGATATACATCAGAATATATATTCTACATCTAATATACAGATATCTTAAATTTTGAATTTGTGCATGCAAGTGAGACCAAATTGCTGGTTTTTTTTTTTAATTTTATTTTATGCATGAGTGTTCCGGCCGACCTCAAGTTAAATTGCTAATGAAAATGACCAAAAGGAAGTGATTATTGTTTTGTTGAATAATATTTTTAATTTTAAACTTTTCTTCTTTATTTATTTTTTTTATTTTTTTTTTTAGATTTTATGTATTTTAAAAACAAAATCCGTAGCTATTTGGTAACTACTTTTAGTGTTCAATTTAATAATAGAAAAATGCCTATAACTTTTTGTTTTGTTCTCTAGAAAAAGAAAAGTAAATAAATTTTTTTCAATTATACAACAATTAAAATGATAACTTTATTTAATTTGTACAACAAAATATGAACATAGAGAGACAAACTATACAGAAAGATAATAATAAAAGATAGAGAAAGATGCTAGAGAGAGAAAACAAATGTTGACGAAAAAGATATATTAAAGAGATACGGGTTCAAGAGATAATCAAAGTTTTAAATATCGATATCTATAGGAATGTCAAGACCTCTGAAATATTGTCTTCTCGAAAAAAAAAATATGAAGATGATAAAACGTTGATGCCAATAGATATTTCTAGAATGTTTATAAAAATAAAAAATTCTTAAAAAATACTTAAATTAACAAACAAGTTTTTTATCATTTCTTAATAAATTTTAAATGATTGATATATGTGTGATAATTTGCTGATATTTTTAATATTTTGTCAAAAAAAATTTAATTTTTTTGCAATATTATGGAAATAGCAATTTACCTCTCATGTCGATGTTGAACCAATAGATACGTGAAAATATAGATAGAAATATCTTGACATGTCTATGGAAATTTAATACTCTAGAGATAGTAACCATCAAAAACAAATTGTACTTTATAGTAAAATAAAACAATATGGCTATGTATTTAAAAATTATAATTAAAAAGTGGCCATTTACCATAAATGTGAAACTAAACTCTACTAGTAGTGAAGTTGAGAGATTGTTGTCCTGATAACTAGTATAATTTTGCCCATCAATTTACATTTATAACCGTTACAACCAAAACATTGAAGAATCCATATGCTCTCAAGATCACTGGAAATATAGCAATTTATTAGAACACAGAGGGTGCTGTGGCCAAACACTAGAAAAGAAAATGAGCTCAAAGCTCACTCAACCAGTAAGGAAACTCAAATTACATTAGCCTAATTCCAACAAAGGCAAACACAGCTAAAAAAGGCTTTTTATCATACAGTGGCTGCTTTGGACAACATGTTATGGACGGCTTCCTTCGTCGGTAGAGCGGGAATGGCTCCTCTCTCCATCACGGTGAGGGCACCGCAGGCATTGGCGAAGCGTAGAGCGTCTCGTAGCCGCTGCTCGTCCTGCAAGAAGGAAACTCTTTTTAGTAGAGAGACTTTGTTTTGATGCATTAGGCAGCAAGCACAAAAGGAACCTGGAAGAGGGTTGAATCAGAAGCTATGCTGAACAATATCCCGCTCACGAACGCATCGCCAGCTCCTGTCGTGTCAACAGGGCTAGCTTTCATACCAGCAACCCTGCCTCGGAATTTCTGCATAAGATGAGTCTCAAGTTCAAACTTCTAAGTCCATAAGTGAAGTGACCAAAGTTTTTTAGTCTAAAAGTGATTTAACAACTACTAGTACTAGAAAATACGAGAACGAAGTGCTTACTTGAGTGTAATATCGACACCCTTCGGACCCTTCGGTCACAATTAAAAGCTTGAAATTTGGACGAAAAAGCTTTTTCAACACCACGTTATCATCATAGGGATCATCTCCACCAGTCAAGAAAGTAATTTCATCCTCACTAATCTGCATAAAATTTCCAAGAGAATGAAAAGAATGCCACAAAAGTTTTCAAACTCTTAGAGCTATCCAGGCACCAAAATGCATCATAATTTTGACATTATATTGTACCTTAACAATGTCAGATTGGTCCCAGATGCTCATGATGCCGTCCCGAGCCGCTTCCGGTGAAGGCCACAGCGGCAATCTCAAGTTGGGATCGTAGGAGAGAATGCAGCCACATTTTCTGGCATGTTTCAGTGCTGCTAGATGTGCTGACTTGCTTGGTTCATCAATCAAACTAATTGATCCATAATGGAAAATCTTCGCCTGACCGAAACAATATCGAAAATTGCCCCGAAAAGTATCAGCAAAAGAAGGTACAGCAAACATGTTTTGTCTGTTTGATCTCTAGAGAACAAAAAATGAGACTACTTGCCTGCTCAATAACTTTAACCTCGAGTTCTGCTTCTGTGAGAAGCATATCAGCGCTGGGATGGCGGAAGAAAAGAAATTCCCTTTCGCCATCCGCTCGAAGCGTAACGAATGCCAAAGCCGTCCTTGCATTCGGGTCAAACCGCACTCCAGAACAATCCACATTGTTCTGCTTTAGAATGTCTACCAACATATATCCAAACTCATCATCACCTACCTATAACACGAGGGAGAAAAAAGTTCACATTTCTTCTTTTCCACATTAGAGCTCTCTAGAAAAATTAGTACTAATGGAAGCAACATGTTTTCTTGACCAACTCCTCCTCCTAACTATCAAAAGCATTCAAAAATTCTTCAGTATGATAGAAGAATGAACCTTTCCAATGAAAGCTGAGGAGCCACCAAGCCTTGCAATCCCAACAGCCACATTAGCAGGAGCACCACCAGGGGCTTTCTTGAAGGCAGGAGCTTCAGCAAGTGAAACTCCACCCACTGTTGGCACAAAATCTATCAGAACTTCTCCAAAGCACACCACAGGGGAATCTTTAACCTCCAACTTTTCTAACCCTGAGGAAAGTTCCTTAATATCACCTGTAAAACCCCCAATCCAATCTACTTAACTTGAGATCATCAAACAGTCTAAAGATGTCACAAGTTTGAGCTCAATATCTCATGCTTTTCTGGAATTTGGAAACAACATTTTAAGGCTAAATTGCAAGTTTGGTCCCTAAATTTCAAGAGTTATATCTAATAAGTCTATGTGAGTTTAATAGATCCTTGAATTTTAAAAAGTGTCTAACAGGTCTATGAACTTCCAATTTTGAATCAAATACGTTCTCAACTTTCAATTTTGAATCAGATAGACCATTCTTTAGACACTTTTTAAGGTTCAAGGACTTATTGGATAAAAATTTCAAAGTTCAATGACTTATTATACACTTTTTGAAGTATAGGAACCGGAAGACACCACATCAAAAGTTTAGTGACACTTTTAAGGCTCGAGGACTTATAAGACATAACCCAAGTACATATGTCAAACTTATAATTGAACAATATTTAAACAACTTTATCCATTCGTCATCATCCGTCGGTTGGATATCTCATATTTTCATCCAATATTTTAGTTCAAGTTTTGTACAACAGTTTACAAGTTACAACAGTATAATTATAAAAGATTGATAGGCAGATCTGTTTTCCTTTTTATGCCAACAATTTTGAAATTAAACTCAAATAACCTCCCAGAATTGATTCCATTTCACCATTAATCAGAATTTCTTCTTCTTTACGCAACCACCAAACTCTCCAACAAAGACACACATGGTAATTGATAGCAAGCTACAACTTAGAAAGAAAAGGGAGGAAATAAAAGATTGCTAAGACAAAAACCGCGATCATGGAATAATTGAACGAATCTTAAAAACCCAGTAAGAATCAGACCAAGTAGAAGAACATAATGAATGTCGACATATCCAATGAAGAGGGGCGAAAAAAAAATGAAGACAGCAACAACAGTTCAAAAAAGAAAAAAAAGAAGTCGTCATAAAGATTCAACGATTGATTTGCAAAATGAAAAACAAGCAATGGTGCAGTTCCAAAATCGAGCCCCGTAATAGAAATGAGGAACAAAAACAGGGGATCGAGGAAATGAAGTGTTGGAGTACCAGAAGAGTGAAAAACGAGAACGACCCAGAAAAATAGAAGGAAAAAAGGAAGCAAATCGAGAAGGGAGAGAAATGGGGAACAAGGAAACTTACCAGAGGAGAGAGATTTTGCCATTGATGTGGTTTTGGAAGAAGTTGAGAGATTGAACAACGAACAGGGTAACACAACAAGAATTGCACCAAGAAAAAAAAAGTTTGGTTTGGTTTGGTTTGGTTTGGTAATGAAGGAGGAATAGGAGAAAAATAAGGGAAATTGTTAAGGGGAAGGTGATGGCTGAAATCTTGACAGAAGTAGAAGAATCATTGAGCACCCACAGACAAAATTTTACCCCCAGGATTCTTCTTTTTCTTCTACACGGGCTTCCAATGCTGCTTCCTTCCTTTTTTGCCTTTTTTTCTCCTTTTTTAAATCAAATTAAAGTTTAATATTTATATTTAATAGGTTATTCAACCTTTTTATTTCATGTTTGATAGGTTTTCTCTAATTAAATTACAAGATTAATTTCATAACCAATTGTAATAACTACTCAGCTAAGTTCATGTTTGACATTGTAACTTCGTATTCAATAGATGCATGAACTTTAAATATAGGTCCAAATCTATTTGACATTTTGTAAAAAGATTGACAAACTTATTAGACACAAATTGAAATATGAGGTGAATTTTAGAAAATGTTGAATATATTAGGGATCTATCAGACACAAAATCGAAAGTTYAAAGATTTATGAAAATATTTTAGAATTCAAGGACCTATTAGACACGAAATTTAAAGGTTATAAACCTATTAGATTTTTTTCTTTTTTTTTTAAGTTTAGAGTGTCACGATTTTTAAAGTTCATGTCTAAACATTCAACTTAACCTACGTTTTGCTAATAGATTCTTGAACTTTCAATTTTATGTCTAATAATAAGTCTTTGAGAATTTATTGAACTTTTATTTATTTATTTTCTCAACCTAAATTTAGGTAGATTGCTTATTATTTCCAGATACCCAGCTTTATAGTTTACAAGCCAAACCTATAATTCAATTTATTTCTTTTTAGAATCTAACACTATTAACATGGGATTGAAATTCGTTCTAAATATTTGAGTTATCCTGAATATTATTCTTTTTGTTCTTCCAAATGTAGGCATAAAATATCAATCTTATGAGTAATTATTTATTTTCAACATCTTAGCAATAGCCATGATCCCTTTTTCCTCATATCATAGAGAATGACGAGAAGAATTATACATATCATTTTTAATTTACAAGTAAATAATATTGAAGGGTTTGCTTGTGGTGTCACGTCCCCTTTTAAGTCTTTTAATAAAAATAATAATAATAAATTACATAAAATGATTTTTTTTTTGTTATCATTAATTTTTAATGTGGGTCAACATGAACTTAGTAAAACACTCATGTCTTCAAAAGTGAATCCATCGACACTTTCATAGTATCATTTGTAAAATATACAAAAAAAATTAACAATATATCACTAATATAAATATAATATTAATATTAATAATATTTAAATTTATGTAAAGGAGCGAAATGCTTATTTTATAATTTAAAAATTTGTTATGAATTTTTTATATTTTTTTCTAAAATTATCCCTCAGACATTACTATTTTATTGATATTTACCCTAACATTTTCATAAAATTAATGACACATCAACTTTAAGTTACAATTTAACATACCTATTTTTATAGACTAATTAGATTGAAAATTTATAATACATCAAAATAAAATTGAGAATGTAAAAGATTAACACCAAATTGAGAATTCTTTTAAGGATTATTTGGTTTATTTAACCTATAAAAAAATAATAGCTAAAACATTATTATAAATTTCATAAATGGGTGATTTAGTTATAGGCTTGATCATGTCTAATTATTTGAGTAGTTCCCTCACTTTATTTTTAAATTCTTTATATTAATGTTTATTTAGATATTCGTAATAGTTTTATAAGCCAACCTGAGCTCGATTAAGATATATATCATAGTCGAAAAGTCGTGAGTTCGAATCCTCACCTCGTAGTTATTACGTCAGTTTGATGAACTCAAAATATAATTATTATATATTTCAATTATCGATAGAGGATTAACTTAAATATTGCTTTAACTACAATTATTACGGATTGACGTATAATAACTTTTACTTTATCAATAATTATTTTTTAACTCGTTTATTATAAGTTACCAAACAGCTATCAGGCTATGAATACTATATATTTGAAATAGTACGTTAAATTTAAAAGATGTGATACCAATTTAAGTATATAACTAATAAAGGTTATAGGTTCAAATCTCCCGGAGTTAAACGTAAAGAAGAAAAAAGAGGAAGAATGTGACTAATATACCATTTTTGTAAAATATTCGTAACTAACCACATGTTATATTTTGGCTAGATCTTGATTTAGCATCTAGTCAAAGAACTTTAGCAATTTATCCTTTAACTATTTTTCCTTTTTCAGAAAAACTAAATTCCAGTATTTGCTATTTTCTTGTACTTACAAGAATTTAAATAACTAGTTGACAATATTTAATTAAAATATACATATTTGGGATCCTATTAAATTTAGAGGTAAAATATATTTTTTATCCTTAAATTGAAAGATAAATTTCTATTTAGTTCTTAAATTTTTCTGACAATTAGAAAATAGTTGTTATTGAGGTCGGTCCCTGAAGTCAAATTTTCCTTAGTGTATCTAATGGAATGCTGATGTGACATTGGTACGGTAAATATTTATTCATTTTATATTATTTTAAAGTTAGGTGTCAACTTTTTTTTTATTTTTTTTTTATTATTCTCTTCCTCTTGCCCTCTTCTTCCTTCCTCTTTTCTCTCTCTCCTCTCCTCCTTCCTCGCTACTCCATGCACCTAATCTCTAGGTAAAACTGAAATCCTAATCAAGACAATGAATTTTGCTCATTTCACTTTCACTTTAGTGTGTCCTGCGTTATTGATCTTAAAGGAGAAAAAATCACCATTTTTAGAATTTGGAAAATTTTGGAGATTCTTTTTGGAGCGAGAGATAATTACTAGAATGGCGGGAATCGAAAACAAGTTAAAAATTAGGCAAAACATAAAAATCAAATAAATCGTCACTATGGTAGCATAGAGAACATATTCGTTTCTCTAAATTGCAGCATTCAGAGAAGTAAATAAGAGTAAACAAAAAAAAAGAAACACTGCCCTTATTTCCTCCTCTCTGACTCTACAATTTCAAGAGGTGATGATTTGAAACAGTTGTGTTGCGTAGGAGTCGTGAAAAATAAAGGGAAGAGGGAGAAGGAGAAGAGGAGGAGAGAAAAAGAAGAGGAAAGATTAAAAAAAATATCAATATCACGTCATCAGAACTTTTAGAGACCAAATAAAAATATATTTTAACTTAAATTTATATTTTAAATTGATTTACTTTAAGAAACTCATTTATGATTTTACGAGAGAGCATACGAAAACCAAATTAATTTTACCAATCAACTCTCCTTTTATGGGTTGTACTTCAAAAGAAATAGCAGTTTTCAAAATTTTGTTCGGCAAAATTTCATTACTTTTAAAAARCGATAAACTTCATTCTTCAAAATAAAAAATAGAAAATAAAATTGTTACTAAAGAGGACATTTCACTTCATCTCCAATTTGAACGGTTGAGATTTATTTGGAAGTAATAGGTGTGGAATAGCTAAAAAAAGTACTATATTCCTATTCCTTATCTATTATCTTCCTTTTATATTTAGTAATAATATATAAAATTAAAATAATTCCTTAATTATTTGTTATATTCTTTATATATCTTTTTTAAAATTATATTCCTTATGTATCTAGTAACGTATAAATAATATTAAAATTAATGATGGGTAAGTTAGGCATGAAAAGAATCCATTCACGTCTCTTTCTTAAGAATTGGCTACTTTCATTTATTTCTATTATGTCTACTTGGAAATATATTATTTATTTTTGTTTAATACTGGGGAATTTGTCATTAGGAAAAATATTTATAAAATATGATTTTTTCAGATTTTTGTACGTTTGTAATACTTACGTAATTTCAAAATTTAAAGTTTGTCCTCTTCAGTCTTCTTTTCCTTTTTCAAGAAAATATTAAAATAATTGTCCTCTTTTCTCTTATAATTTGAAGGTAATTAGGTCTTTTTTCGTTGTCATTTTTTTTAACTCTCGTTATCATTTGGGCAAAAACTAAAAATATGATTATTATAAATTTACAAAAATGCTTTTTCTAAACTATTTTTAAGAACTAGTATGTAACAAGTGCAATCCACGTAGAATTTTTAGATTTATTTTGCTTTACGAAAAAATAAATTTCAATTGGTTTAACTAAATATTACAATTACCAACACGAGCATAGTTCAACGACAATTGATATGTATTCCTTCTCTCAAGGTCGAGTGGAGTTTCAAACTCATGACCTTTAGGTCAGAGATATATGTCAATTATTGTTGGATTATGTTTGCTTTGGCAGGTTGGCAAATTTAGTAATATGTAATTTCGTCATTAATCTAAATTAATGATGTAACAGTTTGTGTGCGGTCAAAATTTATCATTCAATAGTAATATTATTTCTACCATGTGTTTTTTTCTTTTTACCTAAACAATAGATGTATTGTCTAGAAATATATATTGGCCATTGGTATACAAAAATGAACACGACTAGTGTTCTTGCAGCAAAATATATACCAATATATATTTTTCGTATCGATATCAAATTTCTTACTATATCCAATATTTATTTTTCATATCCAAAATCAAGTTTCTAACTATTGTATTACAACGAACGCATACTAATAATATATCTAACATAGTGGTTATATCATATATACCACATAACATATGAGTTATATATTCAATATAACTTAATCTATCTTTAATGTTGGACTGACAAGTGAAATCATGCCCCAAAATTTAATCATACCCCAAATTGAATGCTAAAGTCTAAAGTTCATATAATCTCTTMAAGTAATGTTAAATTAAAGAAATCAAACTCTCGAAAGCGGGAATGCTGAACTTAGAAAATCATGCCCCCAACAAACCAAATGCTAAACTTTAAAATTCATACCCGTAAACTGTTGGCATGGCTAAAAAGAGGTGAGTTGTATCGGGAAGCATAGTAAATTGTTCGCATCGATCAAAGGAGTTGAGTCGCATTGCAAAATGTCGAAAAAACTATTTGTGTCACTTAAAGTAGGTGAGTCGCATCGAAAAGTGTTGTGAATTATTCACGCCACTGAGAGGAAGTGAATCACACTCGAGAGTACAAGAAATTGTTTGTATCGCTGAGCAAGTGAGATGTGCTATATAAGTTGCAAAAGGTGAGTTGTGCAAGAAAGTGCTTTTTTTTTTGAAAAAATAAGAAAGAAAAACAATTTAACATAAAACAAGTTTCGAAAAGACTAAATTATCCAGCCACGTGGGAGTCTGACAACTCTACTCTTCCTTCAAATCGTTTTCTATTGCTCTACTAGTTAAACCATGACTACCTTGCTTGCCAAGAAAAGTACCTTTAACTCTGTGTGTTCAAAGGAGATAAGTTGCGCCAAAAAATGCAACGAGTGAGTCACACTGCAAAGTCACTAAAATCGTAGAAAGAGCTGATAAATGAATATCGAAAAGCATGAATCTAAATTTTCTATTTTCAATGATAAACACATTGAAAGAAGAAAAATGCAAAATCGTAGAAGGAGCTTATAAATGAATATCGGAAAGCATGAATCTAGATTTTCTATTTTCAATGGTAAACACATTGAAAGAAGGAAAATACAGAAGGGAAAGAGAGAAAATCAATAGTTATGACAATTTCACAAATTCAATCGTGAAACTATCTTTTAAATTATTTTCTTTAATTTAGCATGCTATTCCAATTAAACATGCGCTTTAACCAATTAAATCATATTAAAAAAATATTATTATGAATTGTGAAGAAATCATTTATTATGAATCGTGAAATATGTTGCCAAAACGAACCAAGAGATTCTACGTTGTTCACACCATTTGGGAATTTGGATTTTAGTGATTTTAAGACAAAAATGCAATGAATCGGCAACCGGCAACGGTATCGATAAGTGTATCCAAAAAGTGAAATGCATGTGTGGCAGCCATGGATCTGTAGGACTCACAAGTCCCAAGTACTTTCTCTTCCCGTTCTCGGAGTCAGCATATTCTCCAAAGATCTTCTCTCAACTCAAATCTCCCTCTTTCTCTCGCGCCCACACTCTCAGGGGACTCATCAGTTTCCATTCTCCTCGTCTTCAATGGCTTCTTACTCCGTCAGGCTCCACAATCTCCTCTCTTCCCCGCTCCGACCACGATCATCACCATCTTCTTCCCATGGAGTTTCATTTCAACCACTCCCTCCCTCTACAGCCTTCATTTCATCCCCGCTTCTGCTCTCTTCTCCTCCCGCGCCTCCTACAATTACCTCCCACTCTACCGCCATCAAAGCCTCCTCCTCTCCCGCCATTGTTGCCGGCTCTCAAGGTTTCAAGGTAACTATTCCACTCCGTCACTCTCTTACATCGTTCTTCTTCTGAATGCGTGCATACTCTCTGCTACGGATGGTTGCAGGATAAGCAAAATTTATTTTCATTCATGGATTGTATGTGTTAATGTCGGTTTCGCTAGGCGTGTTATTTCTTTGATGTGGATGGCATGATGTGTATTTTGGCTTTCAGATTGATTTGATTCCGACCAAGCCGATAGAGGGCCAGAAAACTGGAACCAGTGGTCTCCGAAAGAAGGTGCTGCTCATTTTCTATCTCTCTTCAACTTAAATTGTTCCACAACTTTTCAGGATTGTCATGCTTGAATGTTGAATAGTTGATGAGTTTTTTTCCTTTTTGTAAAACAAGAAAAAATAGAATTAGAAGGTAGTAAAATTATATGCAACGAACTTTTGTATAAGCATAGGAAGTTCCTAATTTGAAGCGAGTCCGCTAAATGCATTGATAATGAGGATGAGCTTGTACCATCTTGCGGTGGTTGTTCAACGGCAAGCAAACTCCCTGCACGCGGTTAAATTAAGACAGGCTTACTCTGGCATTTGAAAATTAATGCTGCAAGTGGAGGACAATGATAATGTCGTGAGGCTGGGTTACAATGGCCTGATTTTGACTTGTTGAAGACAGAGCGAATCCTTCTTTTGCATGGACCATTGCTATTCTTGCTTTATAATTTTATCTTCAATATACTGATGTATTGCTTTTATCCCTGCCCTCTTCCATTTTCTTGGGATTTTGGCGGCATTGATTCCTTCTCAACTCACTTAGATAATTTATATGGCTTTTCAGGTGAAAATATTTATGCAGGAAAATTACCTTGCGAATTGGATCCAGGTTTGAATGTTTGCATTCTAAAGCAATGTAACCTATGAGATTTTGTCATGAGTTTGAAGTTTGTGTTACATGAGCATTTTGCATCTGCAGGCGCTGTTCGATTCCTTGGCACCAGAGGATTACAAAAATGGGCTGTTGGTTTTGGGGGGCGATGGTCGCTATTTTAATAAAGAAGCTGCACAGGTCTCTTTTGGAGGTTTTCTTTTTTTGCTTAATTCAGTAGTCTAATTTCCCTTAGAACTTTTCAATGAATTTTTGCAGATGTATTGCAGATTATTATCAAAATTGCTGCAGGAAATGGTGTTGGAAAAATATTGGTTGGAAAGTAAGTAGATCTACCCTTGACTAATTTCTCTAAATAGTATGACCTTTCTTTTTGTATTTTGAAGTTATTTATCGAAGAGTTCCACCAGATTTTTTTTTTGAAAAGAACTACTCCGGCAATTTGAAACCTTCTACTTCATATACTCACTTTCCATTGATTATGGTTGATATGTTTCAGATATTGGTATAAAGAATTTATTTTAGACATCATGTACTGCGTATAAATCTGATGATATGGTTCACAGTTAACTTAAATATGCATGCTTTCTGTTTTTTGGATCCTGGCTAGACCCGTTCATGGATGCTTGTTTTTTATTTTGCTTTCTTTTTTAAAAAGAAAAAATTTCACTAATCATGAAAAGATTATCAAAGAATTAAGGGAGGATATCCTCCTTAATTAAACCTCAAGGAGCTGTTTAGCAACTTGTTTTGCAGTATGGATTTTAAGAAATTCTTTATAGTACTGTGAGTAAATAGCTCTTAAAGGTTGAATTTTTTTGCTCTTGATGTGGGAAATGGCTACGAGAAAAGCCTCCAAAGCCAAGGAATTACAAAATTTTTCCAATCACTAGTAATTAAAGGGACCTCATGCTCACAGTTAAAAAAAATGCATATCTAGCATAGCCGTCTAGCCAAAGAAGGGGAGACAAAACATTACTCTCAAAGAGTAGAAACATCTTGGAACCATTTTTGTTTCTCTTCAGTCTTCAATCAAAATTCTCAAAGAATACTCATCACTTTGTTAAGCCAAATGATTTTAGCTTTGGATTTAAGCAAGTGCCTAGTAGAATGTTCGCTAATCTCACCTTTTTCAAAGTTGCCTCGGGAGAAGATGTGCGATTTTTGGGAGGATACTTGGATTGATTCTTCAGCTCCCTCCTCCTTCCATGACCTTTAAGGCTATCCTCCAAGAAGGGTCTGGCGATAGCAAGTTGTTGGGTCACAGAGGTTGGAACTTGGGATTTAGGCTTGTGTAGACATCTTTTCGACTGGGAGATGGATAGATGGGCTGCCCTTACAGAAAAGTTGGAAGGGGTGATCATAGGCCAAGGGAGAGATAGAATTTGGTGGAAGGCAGACAAACAAAGGCATTTTCTCAGTAAAATAAGCCTTTCTGGCCATCACCTCTCCTTCTACAAAGCTAAATTCAGCGACCGCTTCCCTAATATGGAACTTTAGGGTCCCAAAGAAGGTTAAGTTCTTTCTTTGGACTCTGTTTTATCGGGGCACTAATACAGCCGATAAGGTACAACGCAAACTTCCCCATTGGATGCTCTCCCCTAATGTTTGCTGCATGTGTTGGAAGTGTACTGGAAACGTGGATCACTTATTCTTGCATTGTCCTTTTGCTATTCAAGCGTCAAACTATGTGGCTGCTGCTTTAGATTTCTCTTTTTGTCCTCCGAGAAGAATTGATGACTTCATTACAGAAGGTTTTGGCGGTTCCGCTCTTAGAGGTAAAGCCTTTGTCCTTTGGAATTGTGCGGCAAGAGCGCTCCTTTGGAAAGAGAGGAATAGCAGAATTTTTTTTAGAAAATGTGGCTTTGGTAGATTCTTTTTGTGTGAATATCAAGCATATGGCTTCTTGGTGGGCTTCCACCCACGAGAAGGTTTTTTGTAACTATGGACTTTTTTTTATTATACAAGATTGGAAAGCTGTGGTTGTATAGTTTTTAGGGGAGAGTTCTCTCTACCCTCCGCCTTTGTCTCTTACAAAAAAAGAAAAAAAAAGCCTCTTTCCCTAATTTTGAAGAATACTATACGTTTTCCTTCTTGTGGCAGTCTGCTCAATGGCAAAGCCCCAATCTTGTGGAGAACTGTTAGTGCTGTGTTTTGGCTTGTTTGGAAAAGAAACCATAGAATCTTGCAAATGAGTTTCGGAGTAAGAAATATATGTGGGATTTGGTAGTTTGTTTTCCCTCCCTTTAGAGGTCATTCTCTAAATTATTTTGTAAGTTGGTAAGACCCAATTTTATTTAAGGACAATTTGGCGAACCCAAAGGAGATTAGAGAGCTCCCTATCCTCTCTCAAGAAGACTCAAATTATGAGCCTTACAAGATGATACCAAAAAAATTTACCCCACCCATCGACGTAAACTCTCTTAAACCCCCAAAATCTCACGTCACAACTCTTTCCTCTTACTAACAATATTCTCTTGGGTCTCACAAGATCAGACAAAAACATGCCCCTTACATATTTACGTGTCTCTCCCTTACTTCCTTACGAGTATGAACTTTGGTAATTTGGGGTCTAGCATAAGTACTCTCCCTCCATGATTGCTTCTAATTGGAAAACATTTTTGTAAGCTGTGGAAGTATTTGTAATTTCAGAGATTTTTAAGTAGAAGAGTTGGTTTTAGTTAATACATTTTTAGAAGTTTTATCTTCTGCAGCCTGTGATTTGCTTGGATTCTTATTGGTTGTTGGTCTGAAGTTCAGAAAACTATTATTTTTAACTAGGAGGCAGAATGATGTTTTGATCGGTAATAAACTCTTATTTGGGCATTAGAAGAAGCTAATATCTGCTGAGAAGCAATTTTCAGGTCTGAAGTGTGTTAAATATAGTGAAATTTTGATGACACAGGGAAGGTATTTTGTCGACACCAGCTGTTTCTGCTGTTATACGAAAGAGGAAGGCAAGTTTGCTCTGCTGATTTATATTATGATCAAGCATTTTGCAGTGACATTTAATTTTCTCTTTTGCCCCCTGCTTTATTCTGTATTCAATTCTACACAGGCCAATGGAGGATTTATAATGAGTGCAAGTCACAATCCTGGTGGGCCTGAATATGACTGGGGTATTAAGGTGATTTTTTTTATTCACTTTGTATTGTGCATTATAATTAATTAAACTTAATTGCTGGTCAAATGTAACTTTTAAATGAAGCATAAATTTTCTTTGCAAAATGTTGGTTGAAAATCTTGGCCTTATATTATCCATGAAAACTACAATAATTAATTGTAAGTTTTGTAATCTAACTTAATGTATTGAATTTTCAGTTTAATTACAGCAGTGGGCAGCCTGCACCTGAATCAATAACAGACAAAATATATGGGAACACTCTTTCTGTAAGTATATGTTTCTGTCTTCGTGATTGGTTCATTTAATTTTTTTGGTTAAGTTTCTTATCTACTTTCTATTTGGTCAATCTCCTGTTATATCACGTTTAACATTTCATATGTTGTATATTATTTTCTTGTATATATTAAAGCTTCCTCTACCCACGGCCCCTAGGATGTTCTATTGGTGCCTTTCTTTTGAAATATATGGTTTTTGTTTCTTATAAAGAAAGACTTCCCCTCAAGCCAATTTGAGTCCTCTTGTAAGTCCCTATTTATTTTTTGGTTTCCTCTTCGGCTCTATCCTCATTTCGTTCTTTCTTCACCTCCTTGTGGGAGAGGGGTTGGGTTCTTTGGTCTGTTTTGTATCCTCATTTCGTTCTTTCTTCACCTCCTTGTGGGAGAGGGGTTGGGTTCTTTGGTCTGTTTTGTATTGTTGTGAAATCGGGGGGGTCTAAGTCATTTACTGTGGTTATGTCCTTTTCTTCCATTAGAGCGTGGAGGTGTTTTTGGCAGGGTTTGGTTTAGCTTTGGTGCATAGTTTGAGTCTCTGTGAGATGTTGGAGGTCATTTTAGAGACCCCTTTTTGGGAGGGGTTGGGTTCTCTGGCAAGCTAGTTCCTTTGCAGTTTATGTGGATGGAAAGGAACAGAGGTGTCTCTTAGGAGTTAGGAGAAATAGTTTGTGATTGGAATGGTTCTTTTTGCTTGTCTTATTTTGTTATCTGTTATTTCATATTTTAATGGAAGTTGGCTTCTTATTAAGAAAATGTTCCCTTTATGCTTGGATCTTACACAGGTGAATACTGCAAGTGTTATAATAATTAGTTTCTCCTTCCAAAACTACATGGTGCTAGAGGTCTCAGAAACCCAAGCCACCTAGTTGTCGGAACCCTAGTTGCAGGTCTTCATCAACGGTCGTGGTACCCATTGTCTGAAGCCGCAACCCTAGTTGTAACATTCGTGGTTAAGGATATTGAGGGAGAGGTCCTTTCCTTTTTTTTCTTCTTTGTATGTGCCTCCTTCTCCTTCGGGACCTTTTTTTGGAAGGTCTAGACTAGTGCCCTATTTCGAGTCTAAAAGGGAAAGCATGGAGGGCCCTTTTTGAAGGAGAAAAGTCGTCTGGCCCAAATGGTTTCTCTATCGATCTTCAGATAAAGTATCTCTAAGTTCCAAGAAAGAGATATTGTCATCGATGCTTCAATAAATGGAACCTTTGTGTTCTTGATCTCAAGAAAAGATTAGGTAACAAAAGTGAGACTTTAGATCCATCAGTTTAGTCACAAGCCTTTATAAGATCATAGCCAATTTGCTGGTTAACAGGTTAAAGAAAGTCTTACCTAGCACAATTTCAGACTGCCACGATGCGTTATAAGAAAGGAGACAAATTTTAGGACAAGCTCTTATTGCGAATGAGGCTATTGAATATTATAGGGGTGCAAACCAGAAGACTTCCTTTTCAAGATCTGACTTTGAGAAAGTCTTTGACCATGTGGATTGGAATTTCCTAGATAAGGTCATGTGGAAGAAAAGCTTTGGTYAGAAGGGATGAATGTGGAGCTGTACGAGGAGTGTGAGATTTTCAATTTTGATAAACAAGAGGCCACGTTGCAGGATTCTAGCTTCGAGAGTTGTGAGGCAAGGTTTCTTTTCCTCCTAGTTGTAGATATCCATAGTAGACTTGTTTCAAGAGGTGTGGAGAGGGGGTTGATTGAAGGGTTCATAGTGGGGTCAGATTTTATCGCATCTTCAGTCTGCCGATGATACTTTGTTCGTAAGTTATGGCCAAGAAGGGTCCTTTGTTAATCTTAACCATTTTTTCTCCTTTTTTGAGACAATATCGAGTATTAAAATTGACGAGGCAAAAGTTCAGTCATTGGCATGAACTGCGATCCTTTAAAGGTATCAAGGTGGGCTTTGTGGCGTGCTACATCTTCCATCTTCCTATCTAGGGCTTGAGTCTTTCATCCATTTTGGAATCCTATCGTGGGAAGGTTCAAAGGCATCTCACCTCTTGGAAGAAAGCATTCTTTTTCCGAAGGAGGGAATTAATTTTCCATTCAGTTAGTGTCAATGTTGAGTGACATTCATCTCTATTTCCTTACCCCTTTTAGGATCCAAGAGTTTGGAGAAATTCATGAGGGATTTTTTTTGTGGGAAGGTGTTGACGAGGGTGGGGGTTCTCATTCGGTTAGGTGGGAGCTAGTTTTGAGTCCAATAGAGTCCAGGGGTTTGGGTATTAGCAACCTTAGATTGCATAATGAGGCCTTATTAGCTAAAGTGGCTGTGGCACTTTCCTCGGGAACCATCCTCTTTGTGGCATAGGGTGATTGTTAGCAAGTACG